GGTTTATGATGGACAAAAGGAAATACTACTCTACACAGAGAGTGTTGAAAATGTGGAATTTGAGGCCAGAGGGTGTAGTGATGGCCACAGGAATAAACAGCTTTAAAGGGGGACTAGATAGATTCGTGGAGGAGACGTCTATCAATGGCTACTGGCCATGGTGGCTGATGGGAACCCCCACATCCAGAGGCACTGATCCTCTGGATCCCAGAGCCAGGAAGTAACATCAGGGGAAGGTCTTGACCCCTATGCCCTGCTGTTGGCCCTCCAGAGGATGCCAACTAGATAGACTATTGGTCAGATCCAGCAGGGCTCTTCTTGTCTTGCCTCCTTTCTCACAGTGGCTAACAAACAGGGGACCGAGGCCTTCCTCTGAGGTTGCCTCCTGACACTGGTATTCAGAGGATTACTGCCTCCGAATGTGGAGGCTCCCTTTAGTCGCCATGACTAAAAGCCACTGATAGACCTGTCTTCCACGAATCAATCTAATCCCCTTTAAAAGCTGTCTCTGCCTGTGGCCATCACTACATCCTCTGTCAGCAAATTCCACATTATGACCACTCAGTGTTTAAAGAGGTATTTCTTTTTGTCTGTCCTGAATCTCCTGCCCATCAACGTCACTGGATACCCTCGAGTTCTAGTATTTTGAGAGCAGGAGAAAAAGTCCTCTCCATCCATTCTCTCTTTTATATACCTCTATCATTCCCCACCCCACCCCCACCCTCCCCCAACCATCTCTTTTCTAAACAGGAAAGTCGCCAACTCTTCAGCTTTTCCTCCTAGGGGAAGGTGCTCCAACCCCCTAATCATATCAGTTGTCCCCTAATAATCCCAAACACAAAATTTGCCTTTTTCGCTGCTGCAGTACACTGGGTTGACACTGGGTAGCTATCTACTACGGGCCCAAGGTCTCTTTCCTTCTTAGTCTCAAGAAGTTCAGACCACGTTAACTATAACTGAAGCTTGGATTTTTTTTTATTGTTTGGGGTCCCAGCACTCCTCGCCGTACACTGAACTTCATTTGCTGTGTTGCCCAGCCTGAAATGGCCCTGGGGAATGGCTGTTTGCACTACTGGGGAAACTTGTGTGTAGCCTATCAGTAAATTCCCCAACAGAAAATGGTTGGAGGGGGGAGTTTAAGCCCCCCCCCTTTCCTGTTACCATGGTCCTGAGCCACACTGGTTCCTCCATGAGCCTGAGAATTACGTTTCAACACAGACGCGTCACCAGGAAGTGACGTTATGACACCGGGCACGCTGGGGGCAGGGCCATGGTCATCCAAGGGAAAACTCTATAGTTTTCCCTCGGATGGTCGTGGCCCCACCCCCAGTGTGCCCGGCGTGGTTGCGTCACTTCCTGGTGATGTGGATGCGGTGCGCTCGCGCTCCGGGATCGGCCCGGGAGTCCCCCGCTTCAGGACAAGGTACGACTTGGCAACCCTACCCATGAGCCTGAGAATTAAGTTTCAACACAGAACTCCCAGGTTTGACAGGACATAGAGCAAGCAAGGCAACCGTGTACTCCAACGACTGGTGTCTTGTAGATACATCCTGGAGAAAGCAGCCCTTCAGTTATCTTGGCTTCAAGCTATTTAGGGCCTTAAAGGTTAAAAACAGCACTTGGAATTGTCCTTAGAAACAAACGAGAAGCCAATGCAAATAGATTAGGAGAGGAGTAACCTAATTCCCCATGGTGAGGCCCAGATACCTTATGTGACCTGTGGAAGTGGACTAAGGGTGTAATCTTGTGTACACTTGTTTGGAGGGCAAACCCTATTGAACTCAGTGAGACTCACTCTGGGCAAACATGCAGAAGTCCTGTACACACATGAAGCTGCCTTGTACTAAATCAGACCATTGGGCTATTGAGGTCAGTGTTAGGGTTGCCAACTCTGGCTTGCAAAATTCCTGAAGATTTGGGGGGTGGAGCCTGGGGAGACCAGGGTTTGGGGAGAGGAATGAATTCAATGGCGTATAACACCATAGACTCCACCTTCCAAAGCAGCCATTTTCTCTGGGGGAACTGATCTCTGCGGCTTGGAGACCAGTTGTAATCCCAGGACATCTCCGGACACCACCTGGAGGTTGGCAACCGCAGTGTAATGCCATAGAGTGCACCCACCAAATCAGCCATTTTCTCTGGGAGAAATGATCTCTGTAGTCTGGAGATCTGTTGTAATTCTGAGAGATCTCCAGGCCCCACCTAGAAGTTGGCAACTGTTGCCAGTACTCTCAGACTGGCAAAAGTCTTTCACCTACTACCTGGTCCTTTTAACTGGAGACGCTGGGGATTGAACATGCAAACCAGAGGCTCTTCCAGCTTCTACCAGGCCATGTTCTAATAATTTCTAATAATTTCTCTCTTCCCTCTTTTTCTGGTCCTAACCCTAACCCACCAGGGTTTCCAGCTCTGGATTGGAAAATTCCTAGATATTTGGGGGTGGACCCTGGAGTGGGGAAGGTTTGGCAATGGGAGGGACCTCCCTGTGGAATAATACCATAGAGTTCACTCTCCAAGCGGCCATTTTCTCCAGGGGAACTGATCTCTGTAGTCTGAAGATCAGTTGGAATTCTGGGAGATCTCCAGGCCCCACTTGGAGGTTGGTATCCTTAGTCCCTCCCTCTCACACACAGTGGTGTCTTTCCAACTAAGCTTGGAGAATAATTGGACTGGGCCTTTGTTTGTTGCTGTTTCCCGCAACTGTGAGCTATCCTTTGAGTGAACGCCTCTGCGAAGAGTGCTAATTTGGCTACAGGGTGCCAGGGAGTACTGAACAGTGAACACCCATCCCAGGAAGCTGGTGATTCAGCAGGTGTCTCCCAAACGAACCTGTCGTTCAAGTTCCTCTTTCCTTTTCCTCCCCAACCGTGCCACGTCCAATAGCAAAGAGCAGGCCCATAATCACCTTCCCCTTGCCACAGACACACCCCAGTTGGAATGGGGAGAAGACAGGAACGAGACAGCTTGCTTGAGCTGACTGCAAGAAGAACACTCGGTGTGATCCAATTACGGCGCACCATTTATGATACAAATGTGAACGCTGCCATTGCTCCAAGGTGGTTTGTCGTGCTTGTTCCGCACAGCACTTCCGAGAGAGGCAGGATAATAGGCAAGGCATAGTCGGTGAAGCCCTAAAAATGACCTCAATGAACCCCAAGTCCATTTTATGATACAAATGTGAAGGCTGCCATTGCTCCAAGGTGGTTTGTTGTGCTTGTTCCGCACAGCACTTCCAAGAGGCAGGATAATAGGCAAGGCATAGTCAGTGAAGCCCTGAAAATGACCTCAATGAACCCCAAGTCCATCAGACTATGAAAGTGCTGCTTGGAAGCAAATGGCAGTCCTAGCTGAGGTAGGCACAAAAACACTCCAGCAGCAGCAAGTGGCAAGGAGGTGGGCGGGAACTGCATCCACCCACACCTCTTCCTGCACTGCCTGCTGCCCCCTTGCTTCCCGCACTCCCCCTCCCCGGTTACTCCAGTGCGAAAGTACAGCTGTGAACACAATCCAAATGGGCCTCCTGTGGCCCAGAGCTAGGGTTGCCAACTGTCACCTTGTTCCGGAGCAGGAGACTCCCAGGTTGTTCCTGGAGCGTGCGTGTTTTCCCTCAGATGACCATGGCCCCGCCCCCAGCGTGCCTGGCGTGGTCGCGTCACTTCCTGGTGACGTGCACGTCGGGGTGGAGTTCCCCCCGAGGCCCGATCTGGCGGCAGCGGGGAATGGGCCTCTGGGGCGGGGGTTTCCCCGCCCCCTGGGGGAACTTGGCAAGCCTACTAGGATGGCCAACCTCCAGGTGGGGCCCAGAATTACAAGGGATCTCCAGATTACAGACATCAGTTCCCCTGGAGGAAATGGCTGCTTTGTAGAGACGCCAGCCTCCAGTTGGGACCTGGGGATCCCTTGGAATTACAGTATATCTCCAGACTACAGAGATCAATTCCTTTAGAGAAATTGGGTGCTTTGGAGAGTGGGCTCTATGGCATTGTACCCCACTGTCTCCCCCCCCCCCCCCCCCGAATCTCCAAGAGTTTCCCAAGCTGGATCTGGCAAACCTACCCCCAGTATCCCCCACCGTGGGGACCTGGCAACCCTACTGCTTTGAGAGGTGGACTTTATGGAACTCCTGCTGAGGTCTCTCCCCTCCCCCAAACCCCATCCTCCCCAGGGTCTGTTCCCCAAATCTCCAGGAATTTCCCAACCTGAAGAAGGCAACCCTACCCAGAACACCTCTTCCCCTTCATTTTTACTTTTCCTACTGAGCAACCTCAAAACTCTACCACAAACTCACTTAGGTGGCCTGCCTTGTGCAACATAATACTCTCTCTTAACCCTCCCACGTAACATGGGGATAATTACACTGGCTTACTGCATGGAAAATGTGGAATGATATGGTACTAGCCTGATCTCCTCAGATCTCAGGAGCTAAGTAGGGTTGGATGGGAGACCACCAAGGCGGACTCTGCTGAAGAAGGCAATGGCGGATCGCCTCTGCTTCTCACTTGCCTTCAAAGCCCCTTGCTGGGGTGGCCAGAAATCAGTTGCCAGCTGGACAGCACTTACACATGCACTGTACAGTGCTGTTGTATGCATTTCAGACAAGATAAAGCGCTTCAAAGACTGAAAGCGTCACACCCGTGCTAAGCATTATCATATTAAGAAGTACATTTTCACAGAACTCAGGGGGATTGTGCTTCCAAGTAAATCTGCTGAGGAGCTGACTTAAGTATTCTGCGGATTGCTGGCAGACCTAGATAGCCCAGTCTAGCCTGATCTCGTTAGATCTCGGAAGCTAAGTAGGGTTGGCCCTGGAGACCTCCAAGGAATACCAAGGTTGGGATGCAGAGGCAGGCAATGGCGAACCACCTCTGAACATCTCTTGTCCTAAAAGCCCTACAGGGGTGCCGATAAGTTGGTTGTGACCCGATGGCAACGAAAAGGGAAAAAAGGATTTTTCACCACCACAGATTCCCTCTTTTCCTTTCGGCTCTTGGCCTAAATGCATTTGCTGGTGATTGTCTGTACTCAGGTATGTGACTATTTTAAATGAGGTTGTGCAGATTGAAGATAGAAGGAGAGATAAAGGGGGAGTCAACAGTGAGGTCTAGAAGCTTGAAAGCGACAGAGATTTAATTCAGGGTCTTGGCACAAGTGCGAAGGGAAAGGACTTAAGCTGCGTTACTAAAACTTTTATTCATACGCAAGTGACATGATTTAGGATTGTAGCATACAATTATACTGCTATAATGAAGTCATTACCCTGGAAGCAGGCTTTGCGCCTGGACTCTATAGCTGATCAACACAGAGTGACCTCACAGGGCACTTCTGGGCACCTGCGGATGCCTACTTTCTCTTCTTTGGGAATTCGCAGACAAAGAACATAGTTAGATGGCATTCCGTATCATTCCACTTTCCCGTGCTGAGCATTTCCACGCAGTCTTCCTGTCCGGAGGTATCATCAGGTTCCCCTTCCTTCCAGTTGCTGTAGTTCTGCAATGGGGTACGGTCAGCGTACATGAAATGGCCCTCTCGGTCCAGGTCATTCACTCCAATGAAGACTCGGAAAAGACCGCTCTTGGAGATGTAATCGGAGATGACGGCATTGGCGGCTTCATCCTTTGGCATCGCCAGGATCCCGTCTCGGATCCTGCAGTGCGTGAGAGCCTCTCTGTAGCTCTTCTCCTCTTGCACGATGTAGTAATATTTCTCTTCGGTTTCCCTGATTCCTGCCAACACTTGGGAAAGAGATACGACAAGCTTTCTAAAACATCAACAAATAGCCTTTCTGGGGAAGTCCACTGTTGTGGTGGAACATAGAGGGAGAGACAATATCGCGCTCATGTGTGAATGACAGCTATCACAATAATCACTCAGATCATTTTTTTGTCTGTGTGATGGTACTCAGTAGTACTGTGTACCAGCACCTTTTTTCAGAGATGATGATGAAGAAGACATTGGATTTATACCCCCCTGTGAGGTAGGTGGGGCTGAGAGAGCTCTGAGAGAACTGCCCTTTCAAGGACAGCTCTTGTCAGAACTATGGCTTGCCCAAGGTCATCCAGCAGCTGTATGTGAAGGAGTGGGGAATCAAACCTGGTTCTCCCAGATCAAGAGTCTTAACCACTGGCCCTCTCCCAAGTCCTGAGGGGGAAACTGGTGGAAATTGGTACATGACTGCAGAGCTGGAAAAAGTACAGAGGAGGACAAGCAAAGACGATTAGGGGGTTGGAGCATCTTCTCTATGAGGAGGGGCTGAAGAGTCTGGGACTTTGCGCTTTAGAAAAGAGATGACTAAAAGGGGACATGATAGAAGTTTATAAAATTATGCATGTGGTGGAAAGAGTTGACAAAGGGAAATTTTCCTCCTTCTCCCAAAATATTAGAACTCGAGGGCATCCAATGAAGCTGATGGGCAGTAGGTTCAGAATGGGCAAAAGGAAATACTGCTTTACACAGAGTGATTAACATGTGGAATTTGCTGCCAGAGGATGTAGTGATGGCCACAGGAATCTAACAGCTCTAAAATGGAATTAGATTCATGGAGGATAAGTCATAAGAACATAAGAGAAACCATGTTGGATCAGGCCAATGGCCCATCCAGTCCAACACTCTGTGTCACACAGTGGACAAAACCCAGGTCCCATCAGGAGGTCCACCAGCAGAGCCAGACTCCAGAAGCCCTCCCACTGTTGCCCCCCAAGCACCAAGAATACAGAGCATCACTGCCCCAGACATAATGTTCCATCTATACCTTATGGCAAATAGCCACTGATGGACCTGTGCTCCATATGTTTATCTAATCCCCTCTTGAAGCTGTCTATGCTTGTAGTTTCCACCACTTCTTGTGTCAGTGAATTCCATGTGTTAATTACTTTTTGGCAGAAGAAGTGCTTCCTTTTATGTGTTCTATCAATTGCTTATAGCCACGGTGACTGAGGGGAACCTTCACATTTAGAGGCACTAAACTCTGAATCCCAGTGCCAGGAAGCAACATCAGGGGAAGATCTCTGCCTCTGTGCTCTGCTGTTGGCCCTCCAGAAGAACTGGTTGTCCACTGTGTGAGACAGGATGCTGGATCAGATAGACTGTTGGTCTGATCTAGCAAGGCTCTTCTTATGTTCTTGTGACTACTCTCGCACCTTTTTAAAAAAAAAAACAAAAATGAAAACAACAAAAGCACTGGTAACTCAATACCTAATGACATTTGGATGGAAGCAAACAATGCAATCATAAGCAGAGTTCTGCCTTTCTAAGTCCATTGAAATCAATGTGCTTAGAAGGCTGTAACTCTACATAGGATAGCAGTGTAGGTCTCATAAAACTACAGTTTGCCCCCTTTATGCTTACAGCCGGTGCATTTTTCTTCCCAATTTAGCACCTTCCTTTTTTGAGCAATGCTCAGAAATAAACACATCATCATACTGAGCCCTGACAGTGCTCTGAAGATGACAGTATCATTAATTCCCAAACCTTAGGGACTCTGATCCTCAGAAAACAGACGTAGTGGAATTACATTATAGTACACATTGTGGCAGAAGATGAGCACACTAGAAATGAAAGGCAATTTAGAAAACAGGATGCATAACGTACCATTTTTAACAAATTTCATGGATGACTTGAGTCGAGCGACGGTAATATCCAGTTGTCCAACGACTTTGCGATACCTCCCACAATCACAGACAGCACCTAACGCGACATGGGTAAATATAGCTATATATTGACGTCTGTGGTGCATAAAGTATATAGAGCTGCTTAAAATTAAATTAAAATATGTGGTATAAAGAAGGACTCATTAGGATAATGATATTTGTTAAGAGGTTGCTGGAATCATAGCTGCCATCTTTTGTTTACAATGTTTAGAAAGGTGTTGCACAAATTAAACTAATACACAAAGAGGCCCATTATTTTCACCCAGTAGGGCCAAGAAACGGGTAAGATCTTGCTCATTTTTTCTCCTCCATTCTTAACTATGTTTGCATTAAGTGCTCTTTGGCTTCCTACACTCGGAAAATTTCCAGGCTAATAACTGTGCAGAAGAGGGAGGCAAGGCGGCATGGTAGAAGAAGTAGAGATTGGATTTATACCCCGCCCTTTACTACCCGAAGAAGTCTCAGAGTGTCTGGTATAGCCTGATCTCATCAGGTCTCAGAAACTAAGCAGGGTCCATACTTGGGTGGGAGAAAACAAAGGAAGACTCTGCAGAGGAAGGCAATGGCAAAACACCCCTGATTCTCACTTGCCTCAAAAGCCCCTTGCTGGGGTCACTGTAAGTCAGTTGCGACTTGATGGCATTTTTGTACATAGTTGCACAGAGGGGCTATTTCGATCACGATCACCCAGCCAGCATCATGTCTGTTTTGGACCTCAGTACATTGCTATTAAAAGTGCTCACAGCTGAACATAGAGCCATGTGTACTTATTGCAAATTTGCTAAGGGCTGATACACACAACCGGGGCATTGGCAGTGAGCTTCAAATGGACAGGATCTTGCCATTTGCAGTCACGTGACCTGGCTCAGCATTCTGTTTGGCTCTGGCAAAATCTGCATCATGTATTGTGAATCTCTTGTAAATTCCCCTGTTGAGGGAAGGGATTAGAGTTGCACAAAATCCTTTGTTTGCACAGTATTTACTCCTCTTTAGCAAGAGTGTAAATATGTACTTTATGATGATTAAGGCCCTTTAGACAACCTATTAAAAATAGGGTTTATTCTTAAACTCAGTACTTTAGGAAAACAGAATTTAATCCAGGAATCTGTTTTTAATCCAGGAATCTGTTTTTAAGTCTCACTATCCCATTCGGCTAACACTTGGCTTCCAGGAAATCTCAAATGCTGTAGAGTTACTATTAGAGTTATACAGTTAAATTTGAGTCCGATGGTGCCTTAGAGAGCAACAAGATTTTCGGGGTATAAACTTTTGAAAGTCAAAGCTTTGGATGCAGTCACACAGGCCAGAAAAAAGGGGTGTGGGGGGGGGAAAGCAAGGCTGTTTCCTCCGGAGGAATTTGACCCACAGTTGCGAGATCACGCCTCCCTTTGAAGCTGTGGGTGCAGCCCGTGAGTGTGTGATCAGACTCAACTGCAGGTGACAATTAACAAACAAGGGGGGGTAAGCAGTATGACAATCGTGCTACATACAAGAATACTGAAATAGTGCAACTAATACAAATTACTGTATGACCAATGACAGAATAATCATTCCATAATATTTAATCTTTTTCTTTTTTTCAATGTAGACGCCGCGAGATGAACATGCAAGACGTCATGAAGAAGTGGAGGACGAACTTCCCCGGAGTAACCGTTTCGTTTCGATGTTTCTTTTTCATACAAACATCAGTTCTGCTTCAGCATACTCAAACAACTTCCCAAAAGGACCTCTCTGATTCCTAACAGCTTCAGAATAGCTTATAACCGGCACATAGCCTATGTATGAAATCGGGCTGTGTGATCAGACTCAAGTGCAGGTGAGTCTCTTTTTATTTGTGCCGTTTGTTTCCCATGCGCTTAAACGAGGAATCGAGGAATCGCACCTCCGCACCAAGGGCTCCCTGTGGAGTTTGCAATGATGCACATACTGTGAAGGGGGGGGGACAACGGCACGGAGTCGGGTTGGCCTCATCAGACCATCCCGACGGCATGAGAGCGCACTGGAGTGATCAGACGGGAAAGTCCATCAGTGGCCCGTTGCAACCCGTTTACTACCAGATTTTCCCTGGTGTCTTTTAACTTCGCTTCTGCGGCAGAGCAGAACGGGTTGCCAACGGCTGCGGGATGCTTCCCAGATGTTGTCGTCTGATCTCGCCCTTTAAATTCACCCGGCATTTGCAACTATGTCGGGACTAATTGTGCATATGATTGCAGCCTTTGACTCTCGAAAGCTTCTACCCTGAAAATCTTGTTGGTTTCTGAGGTGTTACTGGACTTGCATCTAACTATTCTACTACAGACGGTTGCCCTCTTAAACTTAGAGTTATGAGTCAGCATAAGGCAGTTTCATATGTTTACATCCTTGATTTTGGCTGTATTCCACATTTTTATGTGATTCTGTGCCTGAGGACACACACTCAGTAACTGGGGAACCCTTAAGAACATACGAAGAGCCCTGCTGGATCAGACCAGTAGTCCTTCTGTTCCAGCATCCTGTCTTAAATAGGGGCCAACCAGTTCTTCTGGAGGTTCAACAACAGGGCACAGAGGCCGAGGCCTTCCCCTGATGTTGCCTCAAGGCTCTGGGATTCAGAGGCTTCATCTCTTTGAATGCGGAGGTTCCCCTCAGCCACCATGGCTAGTAGCCACTGGTAGAATTACTGATAGATGGGCCCAGTGATGCACAGTGGTTACAGCGGTACATTAGACTTGGCTGTTGTGCGAATACAGTGGAGAGAGGGAAGAACCACACTGAACTCCTTGGGGAAAACGTAAAAGTGCATGGGACAGGACGCTTGTTTCGATAATGTGAATCCTAACACGATTTTCTGATGATAGAAGCCAATAGAAAAAAGAGGAAGGGGCAGTTTCTGCCAACCGCCCAGTTCCCTTGCAGGCGGCCACTTTACCCCACTTTCGGGCATCCACGGACTCCTTGGGGCACTGTTTCAGGGGGCACCACAGACTGCAGTGGGAGAGGGGAAGCCAAGAAATGTGCTCCTGTGAGCACATCTCCTGCTTAAATAGGTTCCAAGCTAAAGTTGTTATGGTGCCTGTACACTGAGGAGTTCCTTTTATTTTTTTTAATGATAACAGTGCACCCCTGCCTGAACCAGTGCTAGGGAGGCCAGCCTCCAGGTGAGACCTGGGGACCCCTTGGAATGACAGCTCATCTCCAAACTGCAGAGATCAGTTCCCCTGGAGGAAATGGACACATTGGAGGGGGGACTCTGTGGTATGGCATCCCACTGAGGTCCCTGTCCTCTCCAGGCCACACCCCCAAATCTCCAGGAGTTTCCCAACCTGGGTCTGGCAACCCTATCCCCCCAGCCCCTGCCATTGGCCGGTGGGACCTGGCAACCCACTTCAGTTTGGGGAGGACTCTTGCCAAGCCGTTGGCCAGGGTGGGGGATCTTCTGACCCCGTTCCCCTTGCCTGCCAGTGCTGGGAGGGGCAGCAGGGGGAAATTCTTTTTTTTGAGAACTGATGCTGGCTGCAGTGTCACATCATTTCCGATACAAAACCCCCGAAGTGGAGACGGTAGCTCTAGGAATCATTGGACACGCTATGGAGTTTCTGATGATTCCTACAGCTACCTTTGTCACTTCTGGAAGTGATGTGACGCTGCAGCTGGCATTGTGCTTCCCCGTATCCCTGCCCAAAGCCAGGCCTGACCTAGGGTTGCCAACCTCCAGATGGGCCCTGGAGATCTCCCAGAATTACAATGGATCTCCAGACTGCTACAAAGATCAGCTCCCCTGGGGAAAATGGCTGCTTTGCAGGGTAGACTCTATGGCACCATTATACCCCACTGAGGTCCCCCCTCTCTAAACCCCACCCACCCTAGGCTCCACCCCCAAATCTACAGGAACTTCCCAACCTGGAACTGGTGACCTACAACTCTATTTAGGGCAGAAGCCCAGAGCTCCAGCCCTATTGAGCACAGTGGAACTTACTGGGAGGTAAATACATACAGAATCTGCTTGCATCATGTGGAGATAGTGGATGAGCCAAGAGACCCATTTGTTGACAGTTTGTTCTGTGCTGTGCATCTGCAGTAGACATTATCCTCTAAAGTAGATCACCCCCTTCCTTACAAGAGTCTTGTGCCCAGAGCACCACAGTTGCCTGGATATTAGAGGTTGGCCATCCCTCAACGAAGAGCGCAAATGTCTGAGGAAATATCAATGAAAGCCAGCGATGTACCTGCTTTGCCCTTTACTCCAGAAATGCCAGATAAACCCTTCAGTCCTTTGTCACCTGAAAGAAGAAGATTTTTTTTCTTCAAACATCAGCAGGTACAACCAGACAAGCCTATGAGCTTGTTCGTTCCTTCAGTGTTAATTTCTTCAGTGAGAGATACAGGTGAGCAAAGATGCCAAATTAAACACTCAGGCTTCCATTCTGGTACATGCTTTAATAGCTGACCCATTAAAAGTTCAGAGGCTTTGTGGCCAGAAGGAACCTGATACTCCCTTCCTGCACAGATGGGTTGCAAACAGATAATAGTGGTTTTGGGGGTTTGTTTTTGTTTTAATTCAAAGCCATTATTGACAGTGAGGGACACACCTGTTTTATTTTGTCCTCGGTTAAAGTTTACTTGCAAGTTTTTGAAGCAGGTTTGATTTAAAGGGAATATTAGTACGAGGGGAACACTCAGGGCTATTTTGGGGCAGGAACGCACAGGAACGGCATTCCGGCTGGCTCCCGAGTTGGCCACACCCAGCAGGAACTCATTAGCATAATAGGCCACACCCAACAGCAAGAACTCATTAGGACTGGCCACATTAGGGGTGTGTGGCCTAACATGCAAAGGAGTCCCTGCTACAAAAAAAGCCCTGGGCTTTGACAACAAACAAGGTAAACAGAATAAGAAGCAAAAGGTGGGTGTGGCTGGATGACCATACTTCTGCGAACATGGGCTGTGTGGCCTAATATGCTAATGAGCGGTGCTGTCGGGGGTGTGTCCTAATAAGCTAATGAATTTCTGCTGTTAGGTGTAGCCTATTATGCTAATGAGTTCCTGCTGGGCTTCTTCTACCAAAAAAGCCCCGGCAACACTGAATGTATATACCTCACAAGCAATGATGGCACAAGCTGTACATAGATTTTAAATGTGTCAGTGCATGGAGGGGAATTTAGGGTTGCCAACATCTAGGCTGGAGATCTCCCAGGATTGCACCTGATCTCCAGACCACAGAGATGAGTTCCCCTGGAGAAAATGGGTGCTTTGGGGGCTGGGCTCTATGGGATCATCCCCCACTGAGGTCCTTCTCCCCCCCAAACCCCACCCTTCCCATGATCTACCCTCAAATCTCCAAAATTTCCCAAACCAGAACCGGCAGTGGGGATTGTTTACAGCCAGGGCCGGCCCGAGGTTGTCCTGCGCTCTACGCGAGCGCAGATGCCAACCTCCCGCCGGAGCCTGGAGGCCACAAGTGCTTTGACGAGATGCCGCTCCAGAGGGGGGGGAGGGAGGGGAGGGCGGCGGCAGCCCAGTCGGC